AATGGCAACACTAGTTACACTGTACAGGATTTCGATGACCAACTGAAACGGTCAATGAGAGAAATTTTCCGAAAGGAACATTATTGTCTGGCTAAGATAAATTTGGTCGAATTTGGCTTAGTTCGAGTGTGTAAGCTGCTGCATGTTCATCCGTTTCCAGTTTATAATCTCTTTTGAATTTTCGAATCAAGCATTTGGTTTGATGTCAGATATAGTTTGGCCAAAGATGAAGAAATTTTTGCTGCTTTCCTTAAGGTATCAGTTGTCATGGCGGCGTTAGTCATTTTTCTTGGAAAATTATGTTTATCAAACTCATGAATATTCATGATTTCTCTAACAAATGATAAAATGATAACATAATTGCTTTTATAGCGGTGTTGATTCCTCAGGCTACACAGATCGTAGCCCCCCGAGTTGCCGTTCCCGTCTCCAGATCAGTAATTAACCAAGCTCGAATTGACACGGTCGAAACCCCCATAGTGCGTGCTATCGTCGCCGCCCCACCGAAAGTTGCAGTCGCGACACCGGTGAACCGTTTAACCGACGTTACGCTCATATCGTCCGAAGATAGAGTGACCAACATGGACAAATGCTTCCAGTACATGATGACGTCCGCCAGTCCAACAGTAGTTTCGAAGCTGATCACGCAGTACAGCAGCGAAGGATATATCCCCCTTATTGGCTATCCGTATCAGTGCGATGATAAGTACAACTACTATAAAGTTCCTACGTATAATTATGCTATCGAGTTAAACAAAAAGAAAGCTAAGAAAGCTTAGAACCTGACGGTAGAGCTAGATCGCATGCACTCAACGCTTTCAGTATTTGTGGTGTTTGAAGTTTAGTGCCTTATTCAAGGTCGTATAGTGCATTTATCATTGATAGACGTGCAACAGTTGTATGACTGATCTTGTGTGTCATGAAGTTCGCTTCATTTAAATAAAATTCTTTTATTAAAATCTGATTCAGGCGAAGAGAACATTCTTTTATGCAAACATTTCGTGAACCCACCAACCGCGCTATACAAAATCGTTTTGTTGCAGTGATGAAAACGTTGCTTTACGAGGGAGTATTGGTCGTGCGGTATTCTTCTTATTTACTAAATTATTGCAAAATTCGAAGGAAATTAAAAATGCAATGGAATTCATATTTAAAGCCATTTAAGGCCAAATGATTTGTTTCACAATGCTATGCATCAGCAAAGCTCAAAATTCCGGAGTGTTTACAATGGTTACGCTTACTTACTTAAACACGGCTTCCACACTTTACCACATTGAATCGAAACCGAATGACATCGCCTGAAAGAACTTACAGATGTGGTAGTCTTAAACTCACTGTTCCTCCAAGTGACGACGTGTAGCAGAAAACAGAAGCACTGCAATCCTAGTGAAGAAATACGCTAAATTAATTAATTCTAGTGACACTTTACAATGAACAAGTGATCTGTAAATCATCCGCAATCTTCTTGTTGTGCCACAGTAATTCGACAATGCCAAGAGTCAATCGTCGTTACATCGTCAATTTGCCGTTGAAATTCCGCCTATTCTCAACATGGGATTTTGGATAACCTCACATCACATTATAAATGAAATCTTGTTCTGGAGGAGTTTCGGCACTTGCTAATAAGCCAGGCGTAAATGCAATATTTGTGATGTGTGTATGGTAGCGTTTAAGGAGCACTTACTTTTGAAACAACAGACGTGGTGAACAAGAGATTGCTCCACGGAATAAGATGATGCGAAATGCATCCAGCATTGCAGTTGCTGAAATATTACAGAATTACTGTAGCCTACATAAACTGACCCTCTAGCAACTAATAACAACGAATCGGTTCAGTGCATTATGAAATTTGACATTGTAAACGTTATACTCTGATCAGCATATTTCAATCTACGAACATGTATTTCCAATGACTCTGCAGCCATCTAGTGATGAATAGCAGCTCTTTAAACATTGCCTATGAATAGAAGACTGCATTAGCGAATTTTATTTGGATTTACAGTTGCTCAAATATCAAGGAAATCTGACCTCCTGCATAAATGCTTTTGTAGGCAATCAGGATCTAGAGGTGGGAGGGTGCGTCACAATGACTATGAAATAATCTTTTGGTAAATTCAAGAGCTTGTTAACATATTCCGGTGGATAAACGCATATTTATGGCCCTTAATGTTTCTTCATCGTTCAAGTGGCACAACAACGGTCGTTCGTTCCTATTAGTTCTGTTGCGTTCCCAATATTCATCCTACTAAGCCCAGAGCGGGCATCTGAACTGCCTTTGTTTTTCCGTGGTGGTCAAAGATGCGACAGTGGTTGTTGATGTGTATGATTCTGAGAGAGTCAATTATTTGTCTGTGAGAGCGTCAACTATTTGATCTTCGACTAGTGTAGGAACATCCCCACCGACATTGCTTTGTGCGAACATGATTCAGTTCGGTTCTCCTTTGTTGAGGGGGGTGGGGTAAACATAAGCCTGCTATATCCTTAGTCAGATCTTTATTGAGGATTTGATTAAGAACGTCTCACCTGGTTCACCATTGAATGGCGGGGGTATTTATGTCTTTCCGTAGCTAACGAGTACTGAAATTTATACATTATAATAAATCGATCTAATGCATTAACTAGCAGACTGCTAGTTTTCGATGAAGCTGATCAGAAACTGACATTTTCCGTTAAGTCCAACTTTACACGGCATAAATGCATAGTTCTTTTAATTCAACAGCGGTACAGTAATTTCTTTCCTGATTTCAGTCACATGGGTTCCGGCAAAATCATTTTCTGATGATCTGCCGGGATGTTTGCATGTCTGTCTACTGAGCAGAGATTCGTCTGATGGGACTTAGGACGATGTCAGCCAGAGATAGGCTTTGCTGTGGGAGTCCAGCTAACCATAGTGAAACATTTGTGTCGTTATGCACAAGATGAGTACGGTAGGGCATTTATAACGAACAGTGAAGCATGTATGCTGATTACATATCTAAGTCATAAAAGCAGATCGTCGGAACCGTCAGAAAATAAAAGCACTATGAAGTCTTGCCTGTTATACTTATCAATTTCCTATGATTTTTTGCTTCCTTTGTGCACTCGCAAATTTGTTGTTCTTTATAACTTTTTACTACTGTCGTTTTAGAAAGAAACCGATTTTATTATACATGTCGCATGCAGAAGCTATTGAGTGACGTAAGTATGTTTCTTGGCTGCTTGCCATGCAGAGTGCCATGAATTGCGAACGAGGCTTCTGTGCCCCCACAAAGTCAGCAATGCTTCGAAGAACAGAATCAATAACGATTTCAGTAGTAAAAAGTTGGTGCTGCTTCTTGATGGGCCTCACGGTTGATAGGTGATAGCCTCACACTCTGATGGACATTCCTCACATTTAATGGCACAAGACGTTTTGGAACGTCTCTTCCAAATGAATGGCCATGACCTGAAGTGTATGGTAGCATTTTGAACTTTTACATAATATTTCGATGTAAAGAATAGAATGCAGCAGCAGAGTCGAAGGAAGAGGCAAGATAAGGAAAAGGGAACTGTCAGCATTGCCCCATGATCATAGACTGACTGAAAAACAACAGTTGAAATGTCAGCTTAAATTCAGGAAAGTGCACCATTTACTCTCTCGCTCGATATTTACAGGTCGATCGAGGAGAATGGTTAATCCGAGGTTGACAGTAACTCAATTTAACACGATGGCGTATGCGATTGGCTACAAATCACAGGGACAACGATCTGTCATTTCTATTTTCCAGGGAAGCAACGCGAAGTACATTTTTTGGTGAACAAATGCGTACATCTTTTTCATCATTACTTTTCTTTCACGTTTAAATAACTATACCAACATTCGTTGTTCACCATCAATTTTCTTCCCCTTAGTAATAAGTTTTAACTATGGATTTGGATTTCTAATTCTCATGCTAATTGGGTAGATGTAGCACACGTTTCTTCTAATCTAGCTGCCTCGAAGACGACGGCAGGTGCCTTTCAGACATTTCACCTCAAAGAACCGACATATCACGGAGCAGTTCTGGAAAAGATGCTCTGGCAGCTGTGTGTGTAAGCAACAAGGGCGAAGAAGCGAACCAACTGCATAGGCAACAACCAACCTCGTATTTCAACGGTACCTTGAATTGCCACCATTACTGCAAAATAATAAGCGTATTTCAGGTAGACGATATGGCTTGCCTTAATAAAGCTCTATACATTGCCCAGCCATGCTACAGTACGACAAGAAAGGTTGCTGAATGAAAATCTAAATAAAGAGGGTGGCAAATCGCAATGACAGCTTGGCTTTATGCCTGGCTTTCAACGTTAAGTGCCATCGCTGCACAGAGATCAGCCTTCGAAGCTTACAGAAACGACGTAGTGGCAATCACCAGACGGTTTAGTTGAACTCGGTAAGGTCTTTGATAACATGTCACGTCAGGCAACATGCCGGAGTATGGAAAGAACGCTGGTGTGTCAGAAAGGTGTATTAGCATTGTTCACAGCAGCTTCAATGGCAACAACATTTACAAGCATGTGCGGTGAAGCAGGTTTTCCTTGTCAGGGAAGGGGGGGGGCGGGGTCCCTCAAGTTCAGCATTAAAGCAATGTCTCTTCTTGATCACCCCAGATGAACCAGTGAATGACCTGCAGCAAACAGCCCCTACTGTTTGTTCTGCGCAGGTGAACTTGTGCAATGTGCCGAAAGCAGTCAGTAATGAAAACAAAAGTCAAATCATGTAAACTAGCTTCTAAAATGTGGGCTTCGTCTCAATACGAATACGAATTAACTTGAGTGTATTTTGAGTTATTCCCGAAGAAGTGTATAGCTGATCTCAGCGAGTGCTTTGGTGTATGGTTACTTTCTGCATATAATTCTAACATTATATTATGTCGGATGTTTTCTAGAGATATTAACAAATAAACGATAAATTAAGCAGTCTGCCTAAATGCATTGGTTGCGTTGTAGTAGAGAGAATATCCTATTAAGTAAGAAAAAGTCTATGGGCCTGCTGCATGGTCTGCACTATCTGCACTTCTGCGCTGAAAATTCTACTACTGTAATGAGAGCAATATTTTGATTATGTCAAAATGAAAGTAACATATCAATGAGAGTCGGCAGAGAGCAATTGCGATGGAAGCTCTTGGGAAGAACTATAATGAGCTGTGGCGCCGCACTACCCATGGCTACCACAAAGAAGATGTTCCTGAACCCCTTCTGAAGGAACGTTTGAGTTCTTTACAGAACTCCCACCAATCAACAAAAGCCCTGCATAAGATAAAGCAGATAAATCACTACAAAAAATCATCTCAGCATATCTAACAGCTAAAAACTGCATGAGGGAAAAGAGCAGTTACCGTCAAACAGTGCTTGTCATCTGAAAGGCAAAGCGTCCCGGAACAAGCAGGCATTGGCCGATAAAGTTAGAGTGGCTTTTACCCGAACCGTAAGTTTCTGTCAGGAAGCGAGTTTCAAAACTCAGGAACAAAATTTCAAGCAAAATGAAACAAGAAACATTCGAAGTAACCCTGAGATCCATAGTGCATGAAGAAAGCGAAACTTCCCCAGATGAGAAAGCGTGAATTCTCGAAAATATGAATAGCAGCAAGAACGGAAGAACTCGTAGACATGGGGGGGGGACTAACCAGATAGTTTCCGTGATGGAACATATGGACGATGAATCAACGGAAAACTTCGAGATCATTTTTATTGCTTTCAAAATATGAATTGGTCGAGTGCTGCTTTGCCGACGTCAGCAGATCCCAGAAAACACGTATAACTGCTGACTGATAAAAATCGTAAACACAGCAGATAAGGAGCTGGCTGTCGGAAAGTCAAAGTTTGGAATAAACGTGTAATGCTGGCAGCATGTCCCTCCTGGGCTTGCACGTAAGACCAGCAAAGGAGAAGCAGTCGGACCTTGATGATCTTAATAAAATGCAAGAAATGCTGTTATGAAAAATGTGCTTAGGAAGAAATGATAAAATAACCACCTACCGAGATTTTGATTCTAACTGCCTACTTGAAATATCACAAAAATGCTAGTAGAAAGTGTCTCTTAGTGGAAGTCATATTGTGAGACAAGGGAATGGAATGAACCAGAAGAAGTTTTTGCTGCTCTTTTTAAACATTAGTATTTCTAAACCGAAAATTGCAGTCTGTGGTTGCAGGGTCAAGAATGATGATAAGACAACTGAAAGATGACACAAGAGGCATATGTTAGGAAATAACTGCAACAAATTCTTTACCACATAAGAACAGCAGGAGAAATCGAATCAAAAATCCAAAGCGACGTACCGAGAATGGTGTAAGACCTGGGAGTGCCCACACGAACAGACATTAAAGCGATCCGATTACTGAGAAAAGTCCACGCAAAACGTTAAAACAATAAAATCTAGCTGGTTCTCATTAGACGATATTTTAGAGGCTAAAAAACCATTAACATGGAAATATCTGGGACTGATTGGCATCCAAAATTATTGATAGTAATATTTCACATTCATACATAATGTAATGGCATCGTAATTCCATTCAATATTGTAGGGTACTAGTCTCACTCCAGTTTCTGAATTGAATCAGTAACGTAAATGTTACCCAAAGAATAGGTTACGACCGAATTTAAGAACTTCCGGCTAATAACGTGCCTTCCGACCCTCGGCAAGTCCTTGACTTCTTTACCTGCTATGAAACTCAGATAGCTTCTTCTTGCGAATGTCATATTGACAGTAAGCCAAAATGGCTACAAGCAAAAAAGTCCAGGATGCAAAGCGCTACTCATACTTGATGCAGTTATTATCAACCACGTTTTGCTTGCTAAACATCACCTCTATTGACAGGCTGATTATAAGAAAGCTTTTAACTTGCTCCCTCATTTACGGTTAAAGAAAGGGTTGTTAATCTGCAAAGTGAATTATTATATCTGTAACCCAATGGTCCACCTCAGGGAAACGTATCTAAAGCGACTGCATGCTATGAAAGTTCCATATCAGTACGAAACCGGGTCGAACGGGATCAGAAGAGACATATTTCAGCGACATATCCCCGGTCCTCTTTGGTTGTACTTAGTATTAAATCCTCTTGGCAAGCTTTTAAACAAATCAGAACGGAATACATAGTTTTTCCACCTGTTCTACGTGGACAACCTGAGAATGTTAAATTACTCACTTGGAAAAAGAAACAAATTGGTCTCTATGTTCGAGGTGGTACCTAGCATTAGCGTGTCATTCGGAAGGGAACTCAATCCAGGTAAATCCCCCGTCCTGCATGTTAAATGTAGAGCGTAGCTGCAACCAGAAGTCATGCATCTTGAAGACGGGGCAGAAACTCTGGAACTAAGTCACACGCATGTTATAAATAGGTGGGCCCATGGAAACTTCTCTGGATCGATTCCAAGCAAGTGAAAGAAATTGTGATAGAAACGTCCAACAGGTGCCTCAGCTTTGTCCTGAAAACTTAGCTTCTTCCATGAATAGGAGAAATGCTGAATGCTTGGTCTATGCTGAAGTGTACCATCGTATCCGGAAATGAACCCAGAACTTCCTGGCAGACCTTGATGGAAAAGTCAGAGCTTCATTAACGAATTTCCGCACGCATCATCCGAGGTCGTCTGCAGCCACGTTATGTCGATGCAAGAGCCGGACGGAAGTGGTTTGTTGAACGTTTCTGATCTCTGCAAAGGCCAAGGCTTTCCGCATACACTTTCTGACAAACGTTTCGTCTTTACACAGAGCAACAGCTGAAACAAGCAAAGAATACACGCCGCAACAGCTGGCTTAGAGCAACCACGTGGTATCCAGAACTGATGAATGGAGTGCATGAAGTTCCTCATGGACATTACTGTGCTGCCCTCATGTGCAGTGCGATCGATCTGGACAGTTCGCTTGCTTGGCTTCGAGGGGTGCAACTTGAAAGAGTTATATCTCTGATAAATGCATGACGTGACGCAGTGCGACCGAGTCGATCAATATATTGCCTCACGTTGTTCCGTTTAGTACCTGCATCTCATGCGGCACAGTAGCGTCGCAAGCATCATATACAAACAATTGACACTTGAAAGTGGTTCGTGAAGAAACCTCAGGAACGACACAGAATTGTCGATGTCATCCAGTGAGAGGAGTGCATGAGAATGATCAATTTACCATCTATTTCGACCATCCCATACTCACCAGTAATGCGTCGATAACGATCGTGCTGACATATTCGTTTTTAATAACAAGAATGAGAGAGCTGAAACCGCTGATGCCAGTGTTGCTCTGGACCAAAATATGGCGCAAACATGAGTCGAGAAAATAAACAATGCCAAATCCTGGCCATCGGTCTGAAGCAAGTGCATCAGATGAAGACTGTGTCAATGAGGCCAGTGATCATCTGCGCTAATGGCTTCGTTTTGAAATCAATGAGAGCCGGCATTGACTACCTGAAGCTCCCAAAAATGCTACTAGAAAGTGTCATAAAGCTGCTGCTGTGGATACCACCAGAAGAGTGCGTACGAAAATCAACTGTTGCAAAAATTTAAAATCACTCTGCGTAAGGATAAACAATAATCTTAGCGCAAGTTAGTGGGCGGTAAAGAACAAACAGGCTAGAACAAACAAACAAAACAACCTAGCAAACACGATGTATCATCCAGTGTGCCAAATCATCATATCGTAAGCGGCCACGTGATCGGTTTCGGTTGTATGGAGTCCATTGCCGCTTCGAGTAATGTCCATGACCGGGAATGAAAGATGACTTACTGTCTAAGTCCTTCGACAAAACCGTAGTCATGGATTGTGGACTGAAGCAGCCAAAAATCCAAAGACGTTTAACGAACTTTTCAAGAGGTTGCACAAAGGGTCTGCCCTGTAGCAGAGATGACATCGCGATTACACAACGCAAATTCTTCATCTGATGACAGCTTCTAAACCAGCATGCCAGGATAGATCACTCGCAGCCTTTCGTCACTCAAAGATGGTCAGGTTGAAGAGGAATACCGGCATAGTCTAAAGAATCTGGACTAGTTCTGAGGTTGCCGTGCTACATATATTTCCGACAAGAAAAAGCATGTGTGAATGCGTTTTTTTGCATTCATATACATATATATATATTTCAATGCGAATCGTTCATGCGTCAGCGAAGATAAACTTGAATATTGGTAGGGAAATATTATGGCTCAGACGATGGCCAAGTGCAATCACAGATAAGTAGCTCCCACTGCTTTTCGGTTAACGTGCGAAGACAGCTAGTTGGAAAAGTGGTTCCATGAATGTTTACCACACATCATCCCGTCACATCGAATATAGAAATGATATTGAGCAGATAAGAGGATGAAAATGTTGATTTTAATGTGCAAAAAGCATATTCTTTTGGATAAGAGAAACCCCAGAGCAGCAACTTTGTTTGCGATAGGCGACTATTGCTATATAGCTGCAACTTGGACGTTGGGTTAGTTTTCGAAGCCGTGGTTGCATCGCTGTTGCAGCATACGACATGTTGCTCGGCCAACGTTTCCTTGCTGT